TCTATCCTGTTCCTATTCACCATTTGATTGATTTTTGACCTAAAAAAAAAAAAGATAGTAATTCCATATGATTCAACCTCTTAGTCCATAAATACAAATCTTTAAAGGATTGTTTATCAATTCGCTGTTCCTAGTAGATGGATTGTTCTTGGCAAGAATCTGGGTGCTTAAATGTTTTTCTTCAAGATTATGTAACTGCTGAGATAAATACTATAGCTTCTTGGCGTTAGCTGGAATAGTCATAGCCACCGAATTTTAAGAGGAAAAAAAAAGCAAGCGGGGATGTCTCCCTCTACTGGTGGAAGGTGAAAGGTTCCTCAGATGAGAAGCCAGGGGGAAAAAATAGGAGGGAAATTGATGAGGGGGAAAGAGAATGGGTAAGCACAGAGAGAAAGAAAGTTAAGTAGAAAAACCAATAAACAGGTACAGAAGAATTAGAATGAAGGATTTTAAATTTTAAAAAAGGAGGGTCATTTCCATAGTAACCCAGAAGATACTATTTTTCTCCATGAGGTTTTTTTAAAAACCACATAGAATTTTGACCATGAAGGCTTATCAACTCATTGTTCTTGGAACTTTGGCACAGTACAAAATATGAAGAAGCACTGATTTTTTAAAATATCATATATCCCTGGGTCATTTGATATCTGAGTTTTTTTCTAAGGAGGCGATGTTCAAAACTGGCAAAATTAATATTATGGGAATTATAATTCCAATGGATGGTGTCATTGCTCACTTTGGTTGGAATCTGATAAAATCCCACGGTCTCCACTATTATGAGCCAACAGCAGGTCTATATGGGCCATACACTGCAAACAGAGCCTGATCTATGCTTGCCCCCCAGTGGGGATGCTCTTCCCAAGGGAAGTCTGTCTGAATGTAGCACGCTATCTTCCCAGGCATAGGATTCAGAAGGATTTAGACCCTTGGGTTTGTAGTCCCAGGACCTGCGCCCACTGGGACCAGGCAAACTGAGGATAGTGAAGATCAGATTAGCTAGACATGTGAAAGTAGTCCCTCCAGCACTGTGTCTCAAGGACAACTTTTTAACCTGTCAAGACCAAGGTTAAACCAGGCCTTCCACTGTCAAGCTTTACTTGGAGAGAGTCACCTTTAAGGCATTTCAACAAATCTATGTAGAACAGGTGCTGAAAGTCAGAGAAGTCTGAGTTACAATACTCATTTGGAAAAGATTTCTGAATGATTTGCAGTAGTTTTTTTTTTTTTTTTTAATTCAATGGTTTAGGCTCAACTTTTTCTTTCCTAACTTTTTTCGCCGTCCTTCCATCAGTGTCCTCCAACCTTACACATAAGAGACAGGAGAGCAGTTTCAACAGGGTCCGGGCCACAGAGGCTGACATAGGATCTGACTTGAAAGGTTCTCAGCAAGTGGCCTGACCAAGGTAAAGCACTGGGTGTGCGCAGGAGTGGATCCCGGTCTCAAGAGGCCTGCGTCATGCCATGGGGGGTTAAGGAAAGGAAACAGGTATGCCAGACCAAGGCCTTGGAAGGGGCTAAGTCAGCAAGATGCCCTGAGCTTCCACTTCCTTAGCTGCATAGTGACTGCCCCTCTTGGTCTGGGCTGTTTAAGTCAGCAAGTGAGGATCATGGCTGAAAATCTGAGAAGGTGCCTCAGACTCAACATTGACTTTTCCTGTGACCTTCCCTGCCCACTGTCAGCAGCCACCTTATTACCAGAAGGTTCTGGTGGGTGTCCATGAACTCTGTTATCAGGCTTGAACTGGAGAAAAGGGTCAGGGAGGCAGGAAAGGGCAATTGATGGGGGGGCCACAAAGTAGGAAAATGGACAAGAGAGGGCTGGGGTGGTGGCTCAGTGGCAGAGCACTCGCCTCGCGTGTGTGAGGCACTGGGTTCCATCCTCAGCACCACATAAAAATAAGTAAAATAAAAGTATTATGTCCTTCTACAACTAAAATGTGTGTGTGTGTGTGTGTGTGTGTGTGTGTGTGTGTATGGACAAGAGAGGGAGGAACAGAGGGGGAGAGAGATAGGGTCAGAGAACGAGGCAGGGAGAAAGAGGTAGAGGGAAAAAGACACTTGGGTGGCCTCCCTTGTGCTCCTACCACATGGCTTTGAAAACCCCTTCCATCTCTAGTCACAAAGTACTTGGGCTGATCCCTAAAACAGAATTTGCCAATTGGTTTTCAATAAAAAGGTCGAAAGACCGGAGCAAATCTAATTTGGAATTTCCTCGTTCCTTGGGCCTGGGGAGGGGGATGTGAACAGAAAGCACAGGATGATGAGTGAGGGCTGAGAGGGGAAGGTTGACACGGAGAAAGACACAGTCATCCAGGAAGGGCCTTGGATTGTGCACTGGAGGCCCCTGTCCCGTCTCCACCCTGATTTCATATGCAGGGCCACCTGCAAATCAGAGCTGCCCAATAGGAAGCAGGAGCCTTGGCAGCTCAGTCTCTACCACAGAGAATATTCCTGAACTGGTCTTGCAAAGCGCAGCTGCTGGGTGCTAGCACTGAGTCTCAAGGACAACTGTTTAACCTGTCAAGACCAAGGTTAAACTAGGCCTTCCACTGTCAAGACCAAGCCCCTGCCCTGAACAGGGCTGGAGCCAGCCTGCTGACCAGCACTGTCCACAGGCAGACAGCCGTCACCAAGAGTCAACACCTGGGTCCAGAGTCCCTGTAAGAGCAAAGAAAGCTCCTCAGCTGCCCACCTGACACTAGGGAAAGCGACACTGGCCTACGGGAAAGGAGCACCCTGTTTGACAGTCAGCCCATGTCAAGTACTTTCAACGGCCTTGTCATCTCCTCTGAATAGTCCCCATTCCCCAGCCCCTTCCCACCCTCCCAGGCCCTTCCCCAAATCGCTGTTTTGTTGGAATCCCACTGGCCAGGAGGAAGCATGAGAGAAAAGCAAGTCTTGCCTTCAGACTGGCTTTCCCTCCTCAAGAATTTCCTGCTCCTCTTGCCTGGAACCACGGGTTTTGAACTTCTAAAATGTTCCAATTTCTGAGAGTCTGCAGCTCCCCAGCCTTTTTAAGTAGGCTCAGGGCCAGGATCGGAGGCAACCTACACTTGTGACTTCAAAAAGAAAGCCATACATGGCTGATGGGCATATTCTGCAGCAAATGAAATGAATACCTGAGGATTTGCAAGTTCAGGTGAACTCTGCCCCCTTAAGGCTCCTCTGTGCACACATTTTGTATTGCTGCTGGGCTATGGGTCAAGGTGAGTGGCAGTTCTGGGTGCACCCTGGCAGGCAGAGGTGGTAGCACCTCAGCCACCAGGATATTACTACCTGGTTCTTTAGAACACTCCAGTTCTGAAAAGGAACAAGAGGTAATAAGCCGGGCTGGGGATGTGGCTCAAGCGGTAGCGCGCTGGCCTGGCATGCATTCGGCCCGGTTTGATCCTCAGCACCACATACAAACAAAGATGTTGTATCTGCCAAAAACTAAATAAATAAATAAATATTTTTTAAAAATTTTTTTAAAAAAGAGGTAATAAGCCAAGTGACATGTAATTAACTATCTACTGTATGTCAAAAGTCTGGATGGTTTGCAGTCGAAGGATTCAAGCTTCTAATGCTGGATCTACCCTTTGCTTTCATCTTTGAGGTCTCAAGCTCAGGCCCAACCCACCTAAGCCTTGGTCCCCATCCAGCACACAAAGAGCAGAAACATGATTGTTAGGAGAACTTAAAGAAACAGAGCAGGGCATCCAGCTAATCGCTGGAACAGTCATAGGGTGCTCACCTAATACCCACACCCACTCTTCCTGCTGTAAAAAAAGCTGCTTCCAAATTTCACTAACAAGGAACCACAGAGGGTCAAGTTTAGGATTTCCAAATTCTGGGAAGTGGATTCTAGCTCAAGTGTGTTATAGGTCAAGAAGAGAGTTTGCTGAGCAACCCGGGATTTATGCTGTTTTCTTTGCCAGTGATTAAAGTGAAACAAAGGACGTGATGTGATGTGACTTCAGAACCCTTGGAAGAAAGGGAGCTGTCTTCTCAAATATTGGCATCATCATGCCCCAGGAGACCCCTTCATGGTTCCTGAGGCTGATGAAAACCCAGCAGGAATTCTAGGCCTTTGCAGAACAGTCTGATTCAAACCCCAGGGCTTCTGTGACCCTTGTATCTTTCTATTCTTCTTTTGGTCAAATAGACAGAGCCATTTTTAAGTATAGCTCAGCGGGATCCGGTCACTATGATATTGCTCTGCAGCCATCACCACCCTCCATGTCCAGAACTTTTCATCTTTACAAACTGAAACTCTGTCCCCATTAAACATGCCCCTCCCAGCCCGCTCCCCCAGCCACTCCATCCTGCCTTCTCACTGTGGACCTGACTGCTCCAGGTACCGGTGTTGGTGGAATCAATTGTCTTTGTGTATCTGGTTCATTTTACATAGAGTGCCACCCTCCAGCTTCGTCCCTGTTGTAATGTGTAAGAATCCCCTTTCTTGTTAAGAACTAAGAATATTCTTTTGTGCAAATAGACCATGTTTTGTGTATGCGCTCAGCCATCAATCCATGCCGGATTGCTTTTGCCTCTTGACCTATTATGAACAATACTGTGAACGTGGGTGTATTTTTAGAACAATACGTTTTTTTTTAAAAAAATGATTTTCAGCACGTAAAAAGCAGCTGCCTCAGACTGCTTGAGGTGGTAAAAAGCCTAGTCCATGGGGTTGTTTTAAAATCACATCCCTAAGTTGGGGACAGAGGCCCTGGGCATCACAGCCTGTGACTACATGTTACTTCCTGGACCTCCACCCTGGGGGGGCACCTGGGGTGCCTCTTCCATTGAGCAGTTTATTCCATGCAGATGTTGGTCCTTACCATGGGGGCGGGGGCGGGGCCGGGGATCTCCAGATGCACCTGGGCTACTGTGCACGCTCCCTGCACCCACCCGAGGTGTCGCTAACCATTTTCTCTCTTCTTACACCCTCCCTCCCCGCCCTGCTCTCCCTTCCCCCATTTATCTCCGCCTTCTCTCTGCTGGCTCCTGCTGCGCTCCAGTGCGACCAAGACCAGTGCATTCAGAGCACCAAATTCGTTTTGCAGGCCGCAGCCACTCCCCTGCTGCAGAGCGAGCCCAGCCTCACCAGCGACGAGATGCACCTACCAGGGAAGCCCGGCCTGGGCACGCCGTGCACCAGCCTGACGCTGGGCCAGCCCACGCCGCCCTCCTCCATGCCCAACCTCGCCGCCGAGGCCGCGCTCTCGGACATTATGCCCCTGAAGGACGAGCACGGGGGCCACCAGTTCCTGACCCCCGATGAGGCGCCCTCGCCCCCGCGGATGCTGGGGGCCGGCAGCCCGCTGGCGCACAGCCGCACCATGCACGTGCTGGGCCTGGCCAGCCAGGACTCTCTGCACGAAGACTCCGTGCGGGGCCTGGTGAAGCTCAGCTCCGTGTGACCCCTGTGGCCGACCCCAGGACCGACCGCAGGGCTCCTCCACAGGCGGTGGGAGCGAGCAGAGGGATGCACCCCGCAGCGTGGAGATGACAGCCCCAGGCCTGGGGTACAGAGACCCGCTTAGAAAGCCAGGGGAGCCCCGTCTCATGGCAAAGGGCCCGCAGGCTCCAGAAACTCGGAGCTTGGTTTTATCTGAATTTTCTTCCCCACCCTGAGCGCTTTGACAATAATGAATATAGAGAAGTGGCTGTTTTCCGGCATTCGGAACCTGCAGGTTGGGCCTGGGGAGGGAGGACCCTCGGGGTGGGATCTAGCCAGGGAAGAAAAGGCGCTGCCCTGTCTGCTGCTCGGGACAGACACACGGAAGGTTTCTGACACGTGGCCAGACTGAAATCGCACTTAAGTGTTATGCTACTAATATCTGAAATAGACACGCCGTTCCATTTGTTAATTTAAAAACTACAGAAGTTCTAAAGGCAGAAGACAGACGGGGTGTGGATTTGCATGCCAGCTACCGTCTGCATTCCAGTGGTGTTGGTATTCCAAAGGAAATGCTGCTCTCTTTCCTTCTTCTTTTCTTCCTTTTTTTATTTTTGTGAATTTTCAAGTGCTGTTTTGTTGGCAGACGGCCCAACGGATGCAGCCCAATGGACAAGGCTATGGGTGGCTGATTAGTCCACTTGGTTCTGTGTGGATCGGGAGCATCTGGGCTGCGGAGGGCTGCTGGGGGTTTATCCAGTGCCATTTAACCTTCTGTCTAGGGGTCCCATGGGGTGTTGCCTTGCGCTGCCCCCTGCAGTCTTCACCTCCTTGTATGATGAACTCCCCGTGGACAGCCAATAAAATGACATCCTCTGTTATTTTGGATCTGCGTACAGTCGTCCTTAACAGCTTAGGTGAGAACAAAACCATCCAAAGGACCTGCAGAGAGTGTGTATTTTTTTTTTTAAGTGCCCCTAGCATGGAATGATTTAAAAACAACCAAAACTCAGAGCTGTGGGTTGTGGGGTATCAGATGGTGATTGAATGATTTCTTAGTTAAGGGACATGCTGTCCATACCACCCCCAACCTTGGATCATCGCTGTTTGACACCATATTGAGGGAATTTGCTCTGCGATTAGATTGCCATGCAGCAGATGATCTGCCACAGGTAGAGGGAGGGGATGCTCAGGGAACAGGGGTGTTACCTGACCATCTTCCTGGTTCCATGTTGTGTTCATTGTCACCAAATCTCACAAGCGCCACTTGAGGTCCTGGTAAAGGTATCCAAAAAAATGAGGAGGAGAAACTGGCTCCAAGTTTAGGCTGAGATCTCAGAGATCATATTCTAAGCTACACACTAGTTCAAATGGAATTAAGGAAATTACCACTTCATTTTCATTTATCAGCCAAGGGAACTGGCTTTGTACTTGGGAGGAAGTCACTTTGGAGGCAGCCTCAGGGAACTCAGCAACTTCTCTCCTGGCTTCTCTCCAACAGCCAAATCCACTCAAGTTCAAAATCATATTCATGCTATTTACAACCAAATGAAAGCAAGTACGTCGTTCATTAATACAAGTAACCACAAATGATGTGCATTGGTAAGAAAAGGCTATTTCTCCTAGAAAGAATTGCCATTTTATATAAAACAAAAGGGAAGTAGAAAAAAGAAGAAGCACAATTTTAAATATTACTTGGGATAAAACCAATTCTATTTGAGTCAAAAATCAATTGTGTTGAAAATCCTGCAGATTTTTGCTTCATGATATCTTGGAGCCATCTTTATTTTTCATACTGAATGCAAGTATAGAAAATGGAAAGATAAATTATGTGTGGCCATTTTTTTTTTTTTTTTTTTTTACTTCCTAGACTACCTGACTGCTTGTACCCACTGGGGATTTAGGCCACGGCCCTCCTTACAAAACACATACTCTCACCCCATGTTCTTTGAAGGTTCTCTGAGCATTGTGAGCATTCTGGACACTCTCTTCCTCTGGCCTCCTCCTACCTGCTCCCTGGAGACCCCAGGAGAGAACTGGCCCTGATGAGAAGGGCCAGCTCAGCCTTCTTTCAGGGATCAGGAATGGGCGGTTCCCTTCCCAGTCTCTGCTTCTGGAAGACAAAGACAGTTGTCTTTAGAGCCCTTTCATCCCAGACAGTCTTTAACCCAGAGGTTGCTCATTTCCCATGACCAGCTCTCCTCCTCTTATTATGAAAAAATCCAAGAAGTGAGGACCACATGATGACTGGTTACCTGAATCCGCCAGCCCTCTGAATCCTCTGGTTCTACATCTGTGGATTCAACCACATGGATTGAAAATATTTGGAAAAAAAAAATGTACTTGACCACGTAGACGTTTTCCCTTAGCATTGTTCCCTAAACATCACACCACTGCATAGCACTGACACTATGTATTCAGTATTGTAAGTAATCTAGAGACGTTTTGAAGTATCCTGGAGAATGTGCTAGGTTAGGTACCAATACTCTGCCTTGTTATGTAAGGGACTTGAGCCTCCAAGAATTTTGCATCCAAGGTGGCCCTGAAACCAATTCTCTGAGGGCACTGAGAGACAACTGTATTTATTATCAATCATCCCACCCCATATCAACCCCAATCCTATCCCCTGAATGCATTTGGCATCTTTTATCAAAAGGGTTTGAGAATCTTGGTGAAATGAATCAAAGTTATTCAGGGTCAAGAAAGAGATTAACTTGATTAATTTGCAATTAACATCTCAAAAACCCAAAGCACAAAGATGTCCATAGCCCTTTCCTCTGTGGTTTTTGAAGAAGAAGCAGCTATGCTCCCAGAGTCTCCCTCCCCTGTGGGGCAGAAGAGATGGTCTGGAGGGTAACTGGCCTGGTGAGGTCAGGCTTTTGCATTTCCCATTAACTAATATATATCTGTTGAGTGAGCCCCCAAAGTGGCTAGGTAGACCTTGATATTTCTAAATGCTTCCAATGAGTTATCGATTGATTGCATATTAGCTAGAAAAAAGTAAGATAAATATTTTACCATGCTATTAAGGCTTGGACCATTATCAGACACACATACACACACATATACACACTATACACACACACACACACACACCACACACACACACAC